GTAGGGAAAATGACCCATTTTTAAGATTGCAAAGACAAATTTACTGAATGTTCTTTTAGAACTGTAAGAAAATAATTAAGAGTAGAATGACTTCCTATATGTCTTCTTCCCCCATCCGCATCCACTAAGAGAAAACATCTATATAGTTTACCACAATAAATTAATTTTCAACTTTTCATTTGAAGGAAATTGTTAAGAGCTTATAGAAGTTCAACAAAAGAAAACATAAAATATTTAAGTCCTTAATTTGCAAGATTTGTTTCAGCAACTCTTACTTTAAAATCAGAACTGAAATGTCTTTGAAAAAGACAACTATATGAGAGAACCACATTTAAAATGTGTTAAGAAATATTAGTTTTATTTAACCAGTTTTCACAGCTGAATATTTATTCTATAAAAACTTTACAGATTGTACAGTTTATATATAGTTCAAACTACTAGAACAAAAAAGTAGGTCCCACAGATGCAAAAATACTGTACCAATCCAAGGTAAAGGCAGATTTACACACTGTACAGCTCTGCACTGGGAAGGGGAGGTGGGTCAGTTCCAAGTAAAAACTTCAAAACTGTACAAAAATAAGGTTTGATTTCTTTTTCATTCTTCATAATACATTCAATAAGATTGCAAGCACAGATACCCAAGTAGTAATAGATATCTGCAGTCAGGAATCAATAACCACTCCTGAAAGGAATGCAAAATATGTCTATTTACACAGGGCACTCTTTTACACCATACTGTATATAGTGTGTATTTAAAATAATAAAAAAAGCATAGACAAAGAACATTAAACATCTAATATAAGGTAGGGGTTTTTTAAAGGAAGTTTTTTTTTTTTTTACTTAATAGTGTGCCAAAAGAATTTTAACTTATTAAATAATATATTCTAAGTGAACCTAAAATTTATGAACATAAAATGCATTTTTGGTGTAATACATCAGTTAAACCAGCAAATAGAAAAAAAGAACCAAAACCAAAAACCCAAACTGTATATAAAGTAGTATTCTCACCCAGCAACAGAAGCACTTATGTAGTTATTTAAAAAAAAAAAAAACAAAACAAAAAAACCAAAAAACCAAAAACCAAAAAAAACAAACCCAGAGAGACTATTTAAAAACCCACTAAAACTAACTTATAACTTAGGATATTCATACATAAGATATTCAGTGATTCACTAATACTGCAA